CTCTGTCGTGGAAGGAGGCGGGGCTTCGTTGGCCTTCGCTGCTCTTCGCCTTCCACTGGGAGTCGTCAACGGCGATGTTGCACCCGGAACGGATATCTGACCCCATGGTGATGCAGGTGGTGTCTCCTTCTTCCGCACGGTCGTGGGGCTCCTGGTGGCGAGAGCAGCACCCGAAACTCGTGGAACTAGTTTTATCAAATTGGTCAGAAGGGCATTCCTTAGTTGCTCTGATCCGCATCAAGGCTTCAACATAAAGAACAGCCAGGTCCCAGGCATTTGTGGCCGCTGTTCAATTCACTGAACAATGAGCTTCTGCAAGAGCTTCCAAGCTCCCCAAGACTCCCCCACGCTCCCCAGGTGCCTGAAGCCAGCCTGGACTTTGGGCACAGCTTGGCGCTCCTTTGAGCCTCGCACCTGTGTCCTTCGCACGGGCCAAAGTCGCTAGACGAAGACTACCTCACTATCCAAGCTGAGCGAGGCACGTTGGTGTGGACGGCACAGATACCTTGCCTATGGGACCTCAAGCATGCAGCGTCCGAAGCCTCCGCCAAGGTACCATGAGACTTCAACAACTACAAAGTGTAAGTACATACCCTATGCAAAAAATTACATAAATATAAAAACTGCAGGTTCTACCCGTTGCCAAGGTGCGTTTCACAGTCGGCCCAAAAGCTCCGGGGGCCAAGCTTTTCTGGGAAGCACCGCCTGGACTAGCAGGGCCTGGCCCGGAGGTGCGGATTTGGTGAGCCAAAGACTTCGCAGTCCCTCGAACGGCGGCGATGGTTGCGCCTGCCCTTCGCGGATTGGCCGTTGCCTGAAAGGGTCCCAACCCAAAACACATGTATGGTTACGTAAGAGTTAAGATGGTAAGATGCGATGTAGTAGAGCTCATCTGTGATCTGTAGAGGCAATGGAAACGTGTCGGGACCCCACAAACAAACTGAAAATTGTCTTCAGAACTCCTTTCAGAAAAGAGTGCTCTGCACTTCAGCCTTCGCAGCTGTCGCACCTGCGGGCAACTGTTGCACTCAGCTCCAAACAGCTCAAGGTTTTTAGACCTCGCCTGCGCAAGGCGCCATCAGCCATCCTCAAACCGCCCCACCTAAAAAGACCGGGATGATCCACAATGTACTTCATTGTCCGGACAAACGTGGTGTCATTCTAAAGTGAGCCACGCATAAATGCTGCGCTGTGTTCAATCATCTCTGCGAACCAACGGGGCTGCTGCCAGCACACTCTTTCCGATCAGCATCAAATTACATAGTTGAAAGAATGTCAAGCGTGCATTCAAGCAATTCACGCTGAACATGTACTCCCTGGAATGCTGGGAACTCGCTGAGTCTATGCACGAACGCATGCAATGCTGGCAACCAGTAGTCATCCCAGCCAGCGCAATACACCCGGTCACACATTGGAGTCTGGAGTGGATAGGCGGCCTCGCATTCCGGCACTAATTACCTTGCCAGCTGCTTGTTTAACGATACCGACCTCACCCCAACCCGAAGACAGCTCGCATGCACAGATGTTGCGCATGAGCGGCGTTAGGGTGTGCGGTGCGTGCCGTGCATTCCATGTGAATGGACCGCGAGAACATGACCCTCCCAACACCGCCACTAGGGAGAAACTCCAAACCTCAACGTCACCGCGCAGCCAATTGAGCAGGTAAGTCCGCCACCGAGTAAGTGCAAAAAACATTCAAAATTTACAGCAAGCAGTGAACAGGGTCAGTTTTTCTTCCGGCCCCCAGCGGAATCGTAGTATTCGCATACCCCGGGTCCGCGAGTTCCTGGTTGATTCCAACCCGCAATGAGCCGAACACTTGGTAACCTTAAATGTGACACTCGACCCGGACCTCCGGGAAGTCAGCCGGAGAAAGAACAACGGGGCGAACAACCACCTCCAATTTTCAGCCTGCAACCGGACAAAAAGCATCTGAGGAACGTGGTCCAAAGGCCACAGACAAGAGAAACTGTGCTGCGCGCCAGTGATTTGCGCAAGTTGCCCTTCGCAAGTGCTCTGCGGAGGTGCACCGCGCAAGTTAGAACTCTGTTCACTGCTTCAAGCCTAACACAAACATGCCGGCGGACCGTTAACCGTGCCCGCAAAAGTGTATTTTTGAGAACGCTCTCGTGGCAGGCGTGGGATTTCCTTCGATTTCCTAAGCATGGTACACGCTCTACACATTTACGTTTTATTTTCTTCCTTTTTTGTGATGACCATTTCACAATAGCTGCAAGAGGTGTAAAAGAACATCGTGCACAACACTTAGAAGAAGTTACACGAGCAACCGTCCTGCTATCAGCAAAAGGAACCCAGCCGAAAATATTTGCCAAGCACTAGTGAGGATCCTGGTGTAAAGAATCAAGCTCGGAGCCTGAGCACGTGAAGAGAGCCTTCGCATCTTTGTATGCGCAGCCATGGCCCAAAATTCAAAGCAGAAGGACATGCGTAAGTGGAAGGACAATCGCTTCTACATGGGCCATAGTGTCTCGCATGCGACAACATTGTGTGTGTTCTGCGTGCGTGTGCGTGTGCGTATATTATCGTAATATGCAGCTGTATATATAGTATGCGTATGCGTGTGGGTATGCATTAATAAATGCGTGTGTGCATTAATGTGCAGCGCGTCATTATGCGATATGCGGTAATACGTATGGGTATGCGATATGCGTATGCGTATGCGTATGCGTATGCGTGTGCAGCGTGCGTGTATTACGTATGCGTGTCGTAATGCGTATGCGTATGCAAATGCGTATGCAATGCGTAATGCGTGTGGGTATGCGTGTGCAACGCATGCAGAATCATTATGGGGTAATAGGTGTACGTGTGCGTGTGCGTATGCGTGTGCGTGTGCGTGTGCGTGGTGCGTGTGCGTGGTGCGTGTGCGTATGCGTATGCGTGTGAGTGTGCGTGTGCGTGGTGCGTGTGCGTGTGCGTATGCGTATGCGTGTGCGTGTGCGTGTGCGTGGTGCGTGTGCGTGGTGCTGTGCGTATGCGTGTGCGTGTGCGTGTGCGTGGTGCGTGTGCGTGTGCGTCTGCGTGTGCGTGTGCGTGTGCGTGTGCGTGGTGCGTGTGCGTGTGCGTATGCGTATGCGTGTGCGTGTGCGTGTGCGTGTGCGTGGTGCGTGTGCGTGGTGCGTGTGCGTATGCGTGTGCGTGTGCGTGGTGCGTGTGCGTGTGC